GAAAATCGTCAGCGATCCTGACTACGCGAGTGGTTTAGGGTCAATCTCCTTGTCGCCATACTTTAAATTCCATATTTGGAGAAATATGCCTAAAGGTCAGGACACCGCGGCTGCTATGAGGATCCCAAAGAAATTCAGTTAATACGATTTTTGAACTGATTAAAGTTAGTAGAACTGGGAAAAGCCTCCTCTTGTAGATTTTTCTATAATCTCGATACCCCCGAGGCAAATGAGCGGTCGTATCGGCCAGTTCTGGATGTATGAAATTCGACACGGTTAGGATGGGAGGCCAAAGTCGGGTCTGACTGACAGGCACATCTAGATCGCTAGATCGCCGACGGGCCGCCGGTGCGAAAGGGTCCCGAGACTGTATATTAGAGAAGAGTCATCGAGTATAAATAATGTAGTCGGGGCGGCAGTTCCCCAAACATGCGTACTTCTTAGCCCTAGGCAAATAGCATAGCTTTTTTCCAGCAGCTGTCGCTATTAACGTGATGTGTTCGTGGCAGATCAAGTCATCGGTGATCTGGACTCCGACCAGCCCATAACGAACGGCTCTTTGGTAAACTGTTCAAGATTGTTACGTCCCCGAGCAGTGATAACCTCCAGGTATCTCGTCAGAGAGGAAGTCGCTACCAGTCTTCTTTTTTCCAGCTCACCGGCAGAGATTGGCTTGTTGCTCTGAACTCCTGCATGTAGTGTGCTGTCATAGCAAAGCTGTAGATTGGATTGATCGTACCGGAAAGGAGGTTGTTGGTATGTAAGAAGGAGAGTGTCGGAGCCAAGACCGTTCCCTAAAGAACCCCGCGTTGACGTTGCGGGATGAAAAGTAGAACACATCAATTACGACGGATATCTTGCGGCCAGAGAGAAATTAACAACTCATCTGCAAAGCGTCTCTGGGAGGCCATAGGATGGAGTTTGCATAAGAGGGCAGTGTGCCACAGCTGATCAAACGCTTTCGTGATATCAGGAACAACGACATGAGCCTCATCATAAGACGAGATGAGTTGACTCACTTAAATTCCTTTTTTTGGGGTAGGTTAGATATGAGCAAATTTCCAGTTGTCTGGAAAGTTGCCGGATTCGTAAGATATCTGGAAGAGACGCGACAGAACTGGAGCAAGCTCCGCTGCACGCCTCTTCAAGACAATGGCAGGAATCAAGTCCTGATTTATGCCTGAATGTTTAAGGAAGCCTTTGAATCGACGGCGCTCGCGTTCGAGTCTGTGGTGGAGTTGGTGGCAAAGATCTTGGCAAGCACTTCCGCCTGAGCCTTTGAGTCGGTTACAGTCGTTCCATCCTGACACGTAAGTGGTGGAAGGATACTCTGTGAGAAGTTCCTTCCAATCTGTTTAGTCAGCGTGCAGAAAGATCGACTTCCATTGCGCTGCGACATTACCCTGTGCCTATCTTTTATATCTGCAATTTTGTTGGGATTTTCGAAACCGACCTAAACATATTCTAAAGTCAGTCCGCTTAAATGCCTATTGATTTCAGGACCATCTGGTAGGAGAAGAGCTGTTAGCCGACTACCTTCTTTACTGGATGAATAAAAATGGCAAACACTCCCAATACATCCGCTATTTCAACATGCCTAAACCAGAGGACAATATCCTGAATGTGCTGACACATATTAGCAAACTGCACAACAAAACTTTGAGAATCAGAGACTATACAAATAGCTACATCATCCGACCTAACTTCAAAGAGGCTGCGACGATTATGCTGAAGGCATTTAGAGACGGGGAATTAGGAAAGTTGATGCTTGATGAAGATATACTGTGATATGAATGTGTTTTAGTTGTTTTTGTTAAGATAAATAAATAAAATAGAAAAAATCCATATTTCTAATTATAATCTCAGTACAGCTCTTGCAACGGTTACAAGAAATATACATGAGATATAAAGATAAACAGCAATATGGAAAAAAGTGCAGGTATTCAGTTTCTGTCTAGTATTTTACACTATATGGCTCTATATTAACTAAGTGGTTTCTGACCTCCCATTTGAAAAAGTTCTTATTGTATCAATTTTATAGTGATTGGCAGGCAGACAAATTTCAGACATGTATAATATGGAGTCTTTTCAGTTAAAGTTAGTCTACTATATGATTGGGGTAATTTATATTTAAATTCCTTGTGTTGTAGGCCAAACATATCTCTGTTCTTAAAAAAGAAAATCAAACATTCATATAAGTATAGTCTATACACTGTCGAGAGGCGATTGAATCTAAAATTACTCCATACGCCATATTCTTAACTAGTCTAAGCACCCGTTTTTGTATAACAAAAATCAATTTTGTTATCTAAGTATCTAACCTTGTGTCTATGGAAACTTTTAATCAGGAATGTTCAACATAGCGGTGCTGGCAGCCCAAAGCATGAATTAAAGTGAGAACTTCAAAAAAGTAGTTAGAAAATAGGGAGAAATATTTAGTTTGTACATAAAACAAAAATATAACCAATTCTTGTGAATACGGGCGATCTAATGTTAAAAAGTTGAAATTTGATATAATTATAGATGACTATTTTTTAGACAATAGTTGATCATCAGACCATAAGACTAGAGTACTTATCCATTAGGAATCAAACCAGGCTTTATTCGATGGGTTTTTATGTCCACTTCCTGGCTCCATCATCAGATCATCTCGATTTCATAATAAATTTGCACTGTCAATTGTCATATTAAACGTACGGTATATTGGATTAGAACGATGTCACTTTGCTTATTGTGTTTCTTTCATCAAACTATGCGACTGCCATACTGGATCTAGAATGACGCCACGATGCTTACTGTGTCTCTCTCATCAAGCCTTCCAGCCGATAACCGTATCATATGGATAACTTTATAAACGCCATCTTGCGGCGGTCGACATATTTGATTTGAAATGATACTTTGCTTATTATGTTTCTCTCAAGCGTTTTCATCTAATCCTCATATTATAGGGGTGACTATGGAAATTAAAAATCGCCAAGCCTCCATCATATTGGATTTAGAATGACATCAGTTTGCTTATTGTTTCTCTCATCAAGCTCTTTCATTTGATATCCATATCATGTACTATGGAAATGATAAATCACCATGTTGTAGCATATGCCATATTAGATTCAAAATGGCGGCAGTTAATTCATTATGTATATTCACACGAATCAGACAGCCATAGAAAATTTCAGCTCAATTGGTTCAAAATTCTGTTTCAAGATGTGTCCCCCACATGCATACTAACAGTTTCTTGTACAAAACAATTTATATTGACATCCCAGCTCAAATTAAGCCAGAAGAAAACGAAAACGGTTCAGAGTAAATCCGTATTTTCCGTCTCTCTCCAAAAATACTCTGAATTGCCAAGCTATCTAACATTTTATTAGTTACCTAAATACGCAACTTTGCCTTCATAAACAAATTCAAATAATTTTTTTTTTATTATCCTGAGAGACATTACAATGTATGTATAGGATTCGTCAGACTAAAAACTAATAAAACAACACAAAATAAATATATGTATAAAACAAACACATAAATTATAAAATAACAAACACAGAGTTGGCGTAATAACATTTACTTACAAGAAATTTTGTCAGTTTAGCCTTAAAATTATGTATATCTCCAAACTCTGATCTGGTTTGGTGCCTATTGAAAATTCGTGGGCCCAGTATTTCCAAAGATCTGATCTTATACTTGGCAAAACACACATTTAAATTTCCAGCTTGTCTGGTCGAGTACGAGTTAAAATTGTTTAAAAAACTATTTAAAAATAAAGATGGGTAAAATAAAAATCTTAAGACGCTTAACAATATTCTTACAAGAATGCCTTGTACTGACTCCTATCATACATCTAATCACTTTTCTGGGCCAAAAATACTAGCTGGGCATTTGGTGATAAACCCCAGAAGCATAGTGCATACCTCAGACGTGTCTCAACTAGAGCATAGTAAACAGAAACTATCTGTGCTTCAGTACGGACATTTCATAAATTTTTCATAAGATATGATTGGGAGTTTATCTTTGAAGCAATATATACACAGTGGTCTTTAACATTTGAACCTGTATCTAGATACATGCCCAAGAATTTTACTTGCGTGCCAAGGGAAATTCTTGAGCAATTAAAAGTGAAATTTAATATCATAGGTTTCTTCTGGACGTTGTGAAATTGGACCACTGATGTTTTTCCAAAATTTAAATAGAGCTTAGTGCTGCTAAACCACTTGTGGATATTTTGCAGTACAACTCCACTATCTCCTTCTAAGGTCACACTTATTCAATATCACCACTGAAGTATCATCTGCATGTAAAGAGTACTCAAGGTCATTTAAGTATAGACTAATTTATTTTTTAGATTTTCATTAATTAAGTCAAATAATTCATCAGTAAATGGATACAGCAACATCAAAGGCAGTGTACTCGAACTAGAGGTATGCTTATTTGTCTGTTTCAGATTTATTTAGCATTAATGCTACAATATCCATATTACACAGTATATCACAAAATATATTATGACTTCTAGACTACATATTTTTATACAAGATTTCACTACTATGAATTCTGGTTTTTCATGAGGTATTTTTTCAATTTCCCTTTGAAAATTTTCAAACTGACACACATCCTGATATCATTACATAACTTATTAAATTCGTACAATCTCTTTTGAAATACTGACCTGTTCGTTATATTGCTACTGCAGTTTTGTAGTAGAATAATTGTGGCACTCATTGTTCAATACAATAACATTTTCGAAGTGATGATTTTTTAACTTGAATATGAAAATTTTTATTTTTATTTAAGATGATTCTCATAGCTTTATTTTGTAATATTTGTAATTTTGAAAATACAGTTTCATTTGCAGTGAACAAAATAGTCGAACAATATAACAAATAAGGAAGAATGATAAGTGTTGTACACAATTTTTTTAGAATAAACGCTTAGGCTAATATGCGAAATTCTATAAAAGTAATTTATTTTCTTAAATATTTTTGAAATAATATATTCATAGTGCCCTTCAAATTTTAATTTACTGTCTACGTATATGCCCAAATATTTAAATGATTCGATTGACACAATTTTTTCATGATTAATTGTAAGATTTATCGTATTTTGATCTAAAGATTTTCCTATTAGCGTATATTTTGTTTTGTTTGTGTTTAGTTTAAGTTTATTTACATTTAACCAGTTTATTACGTTTTTCATATCATTATTTAACAGCTCTATTGCAGTTTCAATGCCTTTATTTGATATATATATATATATATATATATATATATAATAGTTGACTTTTGCAGTATTGCAAAATATCAGGAATATCATTACTCATTACTCATTACACTTCGAAGTTGAGTCATTTATTTTAACAGTGAGTAGATCTGATCAAAAGAAATGTTTTTTCCTTTACCATTTTTCTGGTAAAATTAAAGTAACAAAGTTATAGCCCTTTGGAAGTTTGAGTACCGCCCTGCCTATTATATGCTCGTGTTTGGCGACAACGGATATAATCCGGTTCATCGCATCGGAAACAAAAAAGCGAAAGAATTTGAAACGTTTATCACGATGTTTTTCGTCAGTCGATAAATCCTGAGTGAATAGTAGTGTGTTGCGTGGCTCAAACGAAATCAAAAATGGCACATGTTTACGAAAATGCTGAACTTGTGGACATGATTCTTATTTACGGGGGGGCAGTCTTTACAAAATGCTCCCGGATGCATCACGGATTTATGCGAATCGGTTTCCCAATCGAGTGCAACCAACCCCTCGTGCCTTTGTTAATGTAGTGCAAAGGGCTCGTGAATCAGGTGACTTAAGACCTCACAGGTGAGGGCATGCTGCTCCAAGACCGCACGATCAAATACAGGTCCGCACTGAAATACTTGTCGGGAGGATACTTTATTAAACAAGGTAACATTTTTTTTTTATTTTTACACACATATTTTGGTTTATCTTCCTTCTACAATCATTATCTGAAAATTAATGACTCAACTTCAAAGTCACCCTGTATATCAAATAAATAGTAATGGACCTAATTTGCTGCCCTGTGGCAGACCTACCGAAATGTTTTTAATGTTTGATAATGTATTGTCAATTTTAGTTCTTTGACTTCTATTGATTAAATAATTTTGTAGTAAGTTGAATACTGAACCTTGAAATCCATAGCAATGCAATTTCGTTAACAATTTCTCCCTCTCAACAGTCTCAAATGCTCTCTTGAAATCTAAGAACAATGTTACTGTACACATTCTTCTGATACCATTTGAATTGCTGTTTCAGTAGAATACTTTTTTATGAATGGAATTTGTTGGAATATTTTTGACGAGGTGCATTTTTAACTTTTTGTATTATTTCCGGTCAGTTCAGATACAGTCTTCCAGACAGCTTTAGTTTTGTTGCTGGAATCATTTTTTTTTCTGTTAATACTTTCATTTATCTATTCTATTAATTTCTTGTGTTGTTTCTTTTTTTCAATAATATACTGATACTTACATTCTGGAACTACTGTTGTTAAATAATAAAATTCCTTCAAGTTGTGAATAGTATGTATGCACGATTTCTTCGTTCACCCATAATTTACTTGTGGTTGAAATCGTATGCATTCGCCGTTGAAAATTCATTTGTTAGTTAAATACCTCAAAAAATTTCCAAAGGCGTGGCTAACATCATTCATGTTATATAGTGGACACCAATCTTCAGCACATATAGTAGATCTGATATAAATTTGTTTATTGTGTCTTCATTATAGCACCTTTTATTATTAGGTTTGTTTTTTGTTGAGATGTTTTCATGAAATTCGAAGAAGATTGTCCTGTGGTCTGACACATTATTCACTAAAGCGCAGGAAGTACCACTATCCTCAAAATTTGTTAATGTATCAATAGTGGTGACTGAACTACATTCTATTCTTGTCGGTCATCTCACTGATGGAGATAAATTGAATTCACTGAGGACACTATTCGGGTTTCCAGATTCAGTACCTTGATTGTAATAATCTATATTGAAATCGCCGCATAAAATTATGTGATGGTATGGCTGATAAACAGAATGTATATCTTGACCCAATTTATCGTAGAACACTTTAATATCCTTTGAAGGTGATCTACTTGTATAACATACAATGATAATCTTTAAATTGAGAAGCACATATATAGTTCTATCTCTTTTTCAACACAAAAGTGACATTATCTACACTTTTCGTAGAAACAGCTTTTCTGGAATGTAAGGCTAAAACGACTTTATATTGTATTGAAACCCAGTATATATATATAACAACAAGTTATATATATATATATATATATATATATAAGAACAAGTAGGAAAATAATGGGCAAAATCCGCAAAAAGGAGGAAAGTGGATTCGAGCAGAAAATAGGATAGGTAACCCGAGCGATACGTATTTCTGCTGGTTGGCTTCATCAGGCCCGAAATGAATGCACATATGAAACTACAAAAGTAGATACACATGCCCACACATCCGGATACGGGTGTAACCTGAGGAAACGAAGTTGGAGGGAAAAAAAAAACGACACACGAAGTCCACAACAAGAGCCAACCTACACATTGTAGTATAAAATGGCTATACGACCTCGAATTTTCAAGGAGACGTCTAACCACCACCACGCGGCCGGTTATACCCACTTGCTGTGGTACTTCAAGCCCAAAGGATCTACAAAGAGAATATGATCATGCGGAGAAAAGTATATAACAACAAGTAGGAAAATAATGGGCAAACTCCGCAAAAAGGAGGAAAGTGGATTCGAGCAGAAAATAGGATAGGTAACCCGAGCGATACGTATTTCTGCTGGTTGGCTTCATCAGGCCCGAAATGAATGCACATATGAAACAACAAAAGTAGATACACATGCCCACACATCCGGATACGGGTGTAACCTGAGGAAACGAAGTTGGAGGAAAAAAAAAACGACACACGAAGTCCACAACAAGAGCCAACCTACACATTGCAGTATAAAATGGCTATACGACCTCGAATTTTCAAGGAGACGTCTAACCACCACCACGCGGCCGGTTATAGCCACTTGCTGTGGTACTTCAAGCCCAAAGGATCTACAAAGAGAATATGATCATGTGGAGAAAAGTATATAACAACAAGTAGGAAAATAATGGGCAAAATCCGCAAAAAGGAGGAAAGTGGATTCGAGCAGAAAATAGGATAGGTAACCCGAGCGATACGTATTTCTGCTGGTTGGCTTCATCAGGCCCGAAATGAATGCACATATGAAACTACAAAAGTAGATACACATGCCCACACATCCGGATACGGGTGTAACCTGAGGAAACGAAGTTGGAGGGAAAAAAAACGACACACGAAGTCCACAACAAGAGCCAACCTACACATTGTAGTATAAAATGGCTATACGACCTCGAATTTTCAAGGAGACGTCTAACCACCACCACGCGGCCGGTTATAGCCACTTGCTGTGGTACTTCAAACCCAAAGGATCTACAAAGAGAATATGATCATGTGGAGAAAAGTATATAACAACAAGTAGGAAAATAATGGGCAAAATCCGCAAAAAGGAGGAAAGTGGATTCGAGCAGAAAATAGGATAGGTAACCCGAGCGATACGTATTTCTGCTGGTTGGCTTCATCAGGCCCGAAATGAATGCACATATGAAACTACAAAAGTAGATACACATGCCCACACATCCGGATACGGGTGTAACCTGAGGAAACGAAGTTGGAGGGAACAAAAAAACGACACACGAAGTCCACAACAAGAGCCAACCTACACATTGTAGTATAAAATGGCTATACGACCTCGAATTTTCAAGGAGACGTCTAATGTGCAATGTTGGGTTTAAATTCAACATAGATTTAAAACTAATCCAGTAATTTCTCAGTAGAAACCTGTACATGAACAACTTTTTTATAAAAAAAAACTCTGCATTTAATTTCGTGGGGCTTGAGAGAAGGACAGCTTCTTAGAAAACATCCATAAACTATATGTACGCGAGAGCGAAAATAGCGAGAAAAGTGAATATTTTCAATGAAAAGTAAGTAAAAGTGAGATGGATCGAAAAAAGTGAGAAAAGTAAGTAATCAGCATCCCTGCACATGTACCCCCTTACTCATGTTTTGTGCGGTATTCTTTTAACACCAGCTCGAAAACTGCAAAAAAATAAAGAGTACATTTTAAAAAAATACCCCAGAATGGCTTGTCTTGACGTCTTTCTGGTTTGGTATAACGCTTTCTAACAAACTCGGTCACTGCATTAGTCGCGGTAAACTGGACACATGTAAACAAATACATACAAACATTTAAATTCACATGAAAGGTTTTTGTCGCCATAATCCCTAAGCATCCCACGGCAACAATAAGTATTCGCATTTTTCTCTCGCCGTTCCTTTTCGAATATAACTCACAAAGTGTCAAGCAGCGTATCAAGGCAGTCTTTTACTTCATTCACGCCGTACAAGTCGCTAAGCATACTCTTCTGCACATACTCATTCGGACTTGCGATGGGTTCTGAACTCGAAGCGGCGGGATTCTTGTAACAGAGGTACTTGTTGCATGCCCCCACGTAGTGCTTTTCACGCACCAGGTCCTCTATATCCTGCAATTGTTCGTAGTCGCCGCCTAATTCTTCTTCCAGCTTGGCGCTCAGTGAAGATTGGTCCCAGTGCTTGAACGGACAGCCGTGTTCTTGATTCACGGCCGGGGTGAAACTGGAACCATCAGAAACGTTAGCATATCACCGGGTTATAAAGGGTTTGGTAATAAATAGGGATCGATGTTGGAATAAAACAATTTGTGTCCTAAATATTTTTTTACTTGGACCATTCACGGTTTGGCACTGTGTCTTAGAAGAGACAGATGTAATTTTCAATGACTTTGACCATCGATTAAGGTATTATAGGTATTCTACCTGGTGGCCTGAGTTAGGTTGATTTTAGGAGCATTTCCATTATTTACGACTTAATGACATATGCAAGATACATCAGAAAACCCTAGAAGAAAATGTCTATTGGGGTTAAGCAGCACGATCTTGGCGACCAATTTACGTCATCGCAACAAGGGATAATTCTACACTCCAATCGTGCTTCGTCATTCTGCTGGAAGTACATGTCTAAGTCCAATTCCAGACAAAAAAAGTGGTTATCATTGATTTGTAGGGCGGAAATGTTCGTCTCCGTGGGTGGCGATTGAAAATTGAAAAGCGAGGGGGGAGACGGCTGCATGCCTAATCAGCGCTTCTGGGAGCGAATGCCCTTGTGATCATTGAAGGTCGGGGGTAGGATACGTTTAGGGACATGTCTTATACGATTGAGGTCAAGCAACGTAATTTTCACACCAAGATGCAACAAACAGCCGTTTATTTCGGCTGATCGGAGTCCAGATCATCAACGACTTGATCTGGCACGAACAACAACGTCATTAGCTGCAGCTGCTGGGAAAAGGTAGGCTACTAGAGCTGAAAAGTACTTTTATCAACGTGACCTCGTCACTCTGTTCAAGGCTCAAATAAGACATAGCATAGAGTACTGCTCATATGTTTGGGGTGCAACCGCCACGACTACAGTTTCAGAAATCTTTCGCTCCCACGGGCCGTCGCCGATCTAACTCTCTTCTACTGCTCCTCAAACTTCTCCTCCATGATGTCGCCACGCGATGTGCCTGCCAGTCATACCCGCCTGACTTCGGCTTCCCACCCTAACCATGTCAAACTTCGTACATCTAGAACTGGCCGATACGTCTGCCTCTTTGTACTTAGGGTATCGAGATTGTGGAACAATCTACCTGAGGAGGCTTTTTCGAGTTCTATTGACCTCAGGCAGTTAAAAAATCAGATGAAAAAAGGTTCTTTAAGCTCCTCATAGCAGCCGCGGTGCCCTGGTATTTAGGCTACTGTTTGCGCGGCTGCTTCGGTATAAAGAAAATTTTGTGGAAAAAATCGCAGGCCTCGGCGTCTCGGGGGGCTCTAGGCTCTAATTCCGTCAATGATTTGTAGCAATCACTGTTAACAATGGTGCTCTCGCTATCATGGTTTTCGACGAACTACGGCCTTGATTAAATCACCACTAATATCTAATATCATTCAGGAGTGATATAAATGCTCACCTTTGTATCCTTTCGCATGTGTATGGTTTATATTGAAGTTTGCTGCCAACTTTACCATATTGGTGCTTGAATAGGTACACGTACTCCTTCTCGTATTTTTCTTCAGTCATTACCTGGCGCGTAAAAATCATAGAATATTTATAAATCTATATCCACTCGATAACATCTAACATCATATAATTTAAAAACGTAGTAGAGATAAAAGAAAGTATGCGATCAAATGGGAAAGTTCCAAACACTGCAAATATTTTTGATAATCATACCATACCATTTATTAAACTCATAATATATAAAAATAAAACACGACTTTAAAATAGTTTCTACGGAGTTCGGAATTTATTCCATACTGTGCGGTTTTTATCATTAGTTTATTAATAAAATACTTTCTTACTGCTGCAGATATTGAAGAAACATTTTAATGAGCATGAATGAAACTAATGACCGGCTTACCTGAGTGAACTCTTCCTTCCAGAAAACGAGCATATCCTCATACGGCATGCCAACCCACTTGAGGAAAATGCCTAGCTGCATCTTGCAATCATATTTGAGATGGTGATTCCGCCTGAGATAATTATGCAGATGGAGCATACAGAGGGGGTAGTGCTGTTCAGCCACCGTATCCACGTTGTCCGTAGTCACTTCAATAGGGATATTAAAGCTCTTTGAGGTTACCACCGGCATGATGGGCTTCAGGTGGTAAATTCGTTCATCTCGAATTCCCACGCGTCTTGCCCACGTCAGTTTTTTATTTAGTCGTTCCTGAAAACAATAATTCAACTGTCATTGTCAATCCTTCTCTTCAGCAGACAAACGGAAACAAGTTGAAATGGAGTCAAGTAGGTTGACTCTGCAATTGTCATCAGTTCATAGAAGCTTAGTAAAAATACTAGTACTATGCACATGTATATAAAATAAATTAAATGGAAGAGGTCAGATAAATAGCCCCAAGCAATTAGTTCCCAGACCCTGCTCATTTGATAACGTTGCAATCTCAACATTAATTTTCTACCCTATCGACCATTCGACATCGTTGCGATCAGATTTGGGATGAGTAAACCGCCACAGGCTGGCGCACCATAGGTTTAACTCCTGTTTTCGCCCCGCTTAACCGGACATCCCCAATTTTGTACCCATCAAATACTTTTTCGTCAAAAACGTCAAAAAACGAAGATTTTGTCCGTTTTTGTTTTTTTTTCGTTTTACTGGTATTGTAATCACGGAAAATTTCGAAAATGAGATATGCTTTTCGGATGTTTTTTGACTTGAACATCATGAAAAGCCTCATTTGTCCGCTAATCCTTGTCCCGCCTATAACTTGGAAAGTACCGCCGCTAGGATTTTGATAAAATTTTCACACAAGCTTCTGTTCAATCAGGCCAATCAGTGGGGGTGGAGCAATGGGCAAAAACGAAAAAAAGTCAAAATTGTTCAAACCTCACTTTTTAACATTTCAGTCTCCTGAGCGTTTTCAAAAACATTGTAGGAGTTAAACGTTGGCGTTAGGGTTGTAGGGGGAGGAGAAGGATATATCCCAATTTTTTGGCATGAGTATATTTATACGCTTCCAATCCCGGTGATTTTACGCATTTTACGCACCTATTGGACATATTTCACACATCATACATTTGCCCTCATAACTTGAGAAAGAAAGAAAGAGATATACAGTAATGGACAAAAGTATATAGACAAATATGAATATTTACCTAAATACCTTTAGAAAACGAATTCATACTTCATTGCTCCATAAACAAATACGTTATTAGTAGAAAAACTAAATTCCTTGTTTTTACATTATCTACAATACAAGTCTGAATATAAGCACTTTTTTATGAGGGACAAAAATATGTAGACAAATTCTTTTCAACATTAGTTTAGTACAGTTTCGTGTCAGAAGAGGATTAGTTTGTGTTCATCAAGCATGGTGGAATAAGTTGAGTTATTGTAAGACCATCCCGCGTGATCCAGAAATTTCTTTCGATGTGAAAACTAAGATCATTGAGTTATACAAAGATGGTCAACGTCAAGTCGAGATTGCCAAAAATTTGAAGCTGAACCGTAAAGCAGTTTGGGCAATATTGAACAAATATAAACAAAAAGGAATCTTGGAAGCCTCTAAGAGAAGCGGTCGGCCTAGAAAACTAAATGCTAGATCACTTAGATTAATAAAAGTAATTTCGTCCAAAGATCCGTTTAAAACCCCAAGTCAAAAAAGCCGAAATCGAGACAAAAGGAATTGTCAGTGTTTCTAAGAAAACTATAAGTAGAAGATTAAATGTTTTGAAGTTATTTGCACGTCGCCCGAGTAAGAAGCCGCTAATCTCGAGGAAAAACCGTAAGGACCGATTACAATTTGCACGGTTGCATCTTGAGTGGAGCATCTGTTACTGGAACAGCGTATGTTTCAGCGACGAATCCAAGTTCAATATGTTTGGATCAGATGATGCTCGTTATGCTAGACGTTCTAGTGGACAAAGATTGAACTCCAAGTACACTTTGGCCACTCTCAAACCTGGAGGCGGGTCTGTTATGGTTTGGGGGTGCTTTTCGGGGTTTGGGATGGGACCTTTACATAGAATAGATGGCATTATGGATAAGTTTGTATATACAGACATACTAAAGCATGTCATGTTACCCTATATGGAAGACAATATGCCCTTAAGGTCAATCTTCCAGCAAGATAATGACCCGAAGCACACTTCAAATCTCGCAAAGAAATTCTTTCTGGATGAAAAAAAAATAGTTCTCAAAAGGCCTTCACAGTCTCCCGATATAAACCCCATTGAAAATCTATGGGAATACTTAGATAAGCAAATACGAGATAAAAAATATTCAAACAAGGATGAACTTTTTGCCTCTTTAGAGCAAAAGTGGAGACAGATTGATGAATCTTATATCAAGAAACTTATACAATCTATGCCGAGACGATGCAGGCGGTGATTGATAATAGTGGTTGTGCTACAAAATATTAACACAAACATGGTTGGTTTTCTATAATTCAATGAACTTTATTTCTTTTTTCTATAATTGTTTTGCTTTGTCTATATATTTTTGACCAGTTTTTTCAATTAATTTTTTATTGGAGGGAATCTAATGAATTTATTTATGTATAAGTGAGTATTATGCTATAACGAATTATGTATACAGGTTGGTGTATTAATAAAACAGGTTAAAAAAGAAATACAGTACAATATTAATTTGTCTATATACGTAGTCGTGCCATAAGTTCTGTCCCATGATAATCTCATGATAAAAATGAAACAAGATAAGATATATTTATATGAAAGATATTATTTATTCGACAACATTTTTAGAATTCATAATCAAACAGTTTTATTCAAAATGTCCCCCCTTGGCCTTCACACACTGCTTCAATCTCGCGGGCCACTCATCTATCACTGCACGCACAGCTTCCAAAGGAATAGCTGCCGCTGATCGGATCAAATCCGCTTTCAGGGACTCGATATTACGGTGGGCTTTGGAGCAGGCCAACTGCTCTAGCAGGTCCCACAGCTTGTAGTCTAAAGGATTGAGGTCCGGACTCCCTGAGGGCCAATCTTCCGCAGCAATGAACTCTGGCACATTGCTTTCCAGCCAGCGCTGCGTACTCTTAGCCTTGTGAGCGGGGACGGAATCCTGCTGGTAGACCCAGTGTTGGTTGGCAAACAATGTACCACTTAAAGGCTTGACGATAGGATCCAGTATGTCGCTCTGATAGTTTGCCGCTTTTGTTTTCACGCCCTGTTTACAGAAATGGAGCTGAGTGACCCCTTCGTAGGACACCCCCCACCAAACCATGACTGACGCAGGGTGGTGGCCTCTCTCAACTCTCGGAATGATCTCCGAAGCTTCCTGTGAACTCCTTGCATACACTTTGTCATTTTGTCGGTTGAATTTTTCTTCTATGGTGAAGATTTTCTCATCCGTGAACAAAATCTTTCGGAATCCCCCAGCTGCGTACCTCTCCAAGAGCTTCTTGGATCTTGTCGCCCTGATGTGTCGCAAGGTGGCCGTAAGTCGCTGGCCCGTACGTCTCCGGTAAGCCCCTAGCCCTAGGTCTTGTTTAATGATGCGCGACATCGTCCGGACAGGAATCTTCATTTCCCTGGATAGGATCTTCTGCTGCGGAGTGGATTCCTTTGAATCCTGGCTTTTACGGCTTTGATGGCTGCTGGAGTCCTTACTTGACGAGGTCTTCCGCTTCTTGGCCTGTCATCAACAGAGGACGTCTCATTGTACCGCTGAATGGTCCTAGACACAAATTTACGCGATATTTGAAGGCCGCGTAAGAGTTCAAAAATCTGACTAGCACTGTGATTACACTTATGTAAAGCTATCACTGCAATACGGTTCTCTGCCTTGCCCCACTCCATCGTTATGCTTCGAGAGATCAATACAAACTGAGGTATATGTAATTACCCGAAAAGCGCTTAATCAACTGACACCACAATGTAAACAATCGGACAAGTATTAACAGGTCTACACTTGTTTGAAAACGAGGGACAGAACTTATGGCATGACTACGTACTTTTTCCAGGCAAGCCAACGAACGTATACTTACCTTGTATCAGACCTGACCGATGAGCGGCTATAAAGCCGTGCTGGGTTGACGAGTGCAGTGGTTAGTTACAGCAAGGTTGTCAGATGGTCGGTACTGCCGGTAGGACATGGAATGAATTTCTATATCGCAACACTGTCAAATGTGGACTATGGTCTAATAGCGTGGACCTGTTTGATTGGCTTAATCCAGCTGAACATGATCTGATGACACGCGTGGAAAGTGCAGAGTCATCCTACTTTACGCCATTCTTTTGTGCGTAGCTCCGTCGCCACTGGATTGTATTTCAAAAACTACAAAGCTTTTTTCGAACTTGGCACAGTGGCGACCTTGTAAAAAAAATCATCAAAATCCGACTTATACTTTCCAAGTTATACAGAGGCTAAGCAGACATGCAGACAACCAAAGAGACAGATCAACTGAAATGAGTGATACGGTTTTTCCTGTCTTGTAAGATCAAAAAAATATATATAGTCTCTGGATCATAATTTTTTTGTGATTGCAATACTCCTCGCCAATAAGATTGTTAACTGATGAATCAATCAATCAGCTTTATTCAAAACAAATTAGTTACAAACAGAAAATAAATGAACGAATAAAGCATAGTACCAATAAGTATAAAATAATACTTGTTTCTGCACAAAAAAGAAGTGCAGTTAAAAGCTAAAATTTTCCTGACTATCATAAAAACACTTATAGGGCACACATATGTGAAAGCACTACTAAAACGAATATACAGTGATATAGTGAACGTACTGTAAGTGAACTACTCTAAAAGTGAATTATTTTTTGAACCAACTGCTTATGTTCGTAAACGAACACGTCTGTACAGGAAAATGCTTCGTTTTCTTTCGTTCAATCGGATCACGGCAGTTTCTTGAACATGGTATGTATCAGAGCTGCCTTCCAATGGTTTTCGGTTTGACAGTGATACGCTCCCAAACTGTTCCAGAAACAACGCATGAGAATACAATATGGTATTGGTGCTGAGCACTACTGAGTTACTCAGAGTAACTCAACAGGGTCACGGGAAAGTAGCTAAGGTCGTTATATGGCAAAATTAGGAAATATTTAAGCCTAAGTGCTAATGCCAGATATTAGAAGTCCTAAAGAAAGGTGTCAAGGTGGCTGTTTTCTCCAAAGAATATGGTGTTGCCAAGTCTACTACATGCACTATTCCCGCAGTCAACAGCCATCCCTCTGATGTAGATGACTGAAATAATGATATTTTAGCGGATAAAGAAACTGAAGATCACAGCAAAATCAATAAAACTGATCAAGATCAAGAAGGTGAAGAATCAATCAATAAATCACAATTCATGGGCTGAAGAAAATGAAGTGGAATGCTCCAGTATACTTATTTCACAAAATGTGAGAAATAAAAAGGTCCAAAAAGGGTTTATGAGACAAAAAATACAAACAAAATAACCTAGTATTTCGATAAAAAGGAATAAACTACTTTTCATTAGTACATATTATGCTGGTAACGTTTTTTTTATTGTTAATAATGTTGGTTTACTAATGAGTGATTTTAGCGAATTTTAGAAATATCCCATATAAGGTGAATAAATCGATCCAGGGAACTGGCTGTGCATTAGTTTGTTCAAGATATTGTAAGTCTACTGCAATATGCATTATGAGTTTCTAATTTTTTCTCATTATATAGTGAGAACATTCCATATGAATGGGTGTTCTATGAAGCAGCTTTTAGATATGATACATTTTTTATGATTTCTTGACCGCCAGCCAATTTTAAAAAAAAAATGTTTAATTCTGGATATGACAAGGTATGCCTAATATACCTGAAAGTGTTGCTGCACAGCATATACTAAAAGCTCCTTTGGGAAGTAAGCCATCCCTTTGTGTAAGAACACTTTTCTAAGTGTTACCAGTTTTTGTACATTGCTCCAGTGTGTCTTGTGGAAATTCCCAGCCAATCTAGATCTTTTATAGTTGCATGATGCAAATTCTTTCTCGAATTGTTTTTTCTCTGCCTGAGAAACCTGAGAAGAGAGTAAATACTAGTAGTAGTAGTTAAAGCTACCAGATCGCAGCTTCATTACTACAATGTACCTCAATTGCAGATAGATTAATCTACTTTCATTATAACAATGGTCATAGATTCAAAACTATGATTACGTACTGAAAGGGTGTGGAAAATTGGAAGCATGGCATATATATATTCGTCCATAACAGTGGTCAAAGGTTGATATATTTTTCAAATGTTTATGTAGTTTAGTTGCCTCAGTCCAAGTTGTTACTTTAAGTAATTCGCCAAAAAAGCATGAAATTTTTATATCTCCTCTGATATGAATAAGTTACAATATACAACTGTTCTAGGTAATACCATTGATTAACATATTCTACCTGAAGATAGACAACTATCTATTTTTGGGTTCCAAAAAATTATCTGAGTTAAACTGAGAGTTTCTATGAGAATTTCTTACAGCTGTGTCCCTCCTGTCTGCAATAGTTAGAAGTCTACCTTGAAAGCTTAGTAACTCATAGATGGCACTGTGGTCAACTAAATACTCATCAAGTTGGCTACAGTGCCATCTATGAAACACTAACTTTATCAAAGTAGATTTCTAATTATTGGCGAAAGAAGAAACACAGATAGTACCAGGATATTTCATTTCATCTCAGATAATTTTTTGGACCCCAAAATAGGTGACTATCTTCAGAGTGTATCACAGAGTGAGCCGTGTTGAAAACCCCATAGGACATCAATATCATTACTAGACAGTTTTGGGACTTGCATCCTATAAGAATTAGAGGGCAACTGTGAGAATGGGAAATACAAGTCTATACTACCAGGATATCTCATTTCATCTCAGATAATTTTTTGGACCCCAAAATGGGTGACTATCTTCAGAGTGTATCACAGAGTGAGCCGTGTTGAAAACCCCATAGGACATCAATATCATTACTAGACAGTTTTAGGACTTGCATCCTATAAGAATTAGAGGGCAACTGTGAGAATGGGAAATACATATACATTTGAGAAACATATTTTATTCCTGAGAGTAATATGTATATAATGATAGATTTTTTTTAACTCATTTAAATTTTTTTCGAGCTGTCACATTATTGCTACAATAAAAAAGCATACCTCTGGAAAATCAAAATGGTTCTCTTCCAAGAACAAGTTAAGATCTTCAGCAGAAGCATTCTTGTACCTCAGTACTAACCATTCTGTTTCTCTTTTGATGAAGAGCTCCCTCAGCTCCTGAGATTGACAGAAAACTGGAAAAAAATGATGGTTCAGAATTCCAGACAGTGGGAAGATTTATAATCCACATTTAGACTTCATCCCAATACAATGTTTTGGCAAGCAATGGTGCTGTTCCCAATATAAATCTTGTAATTTTGTAAATCTGGTCTTACAAAAGGACCCACTCTACTACAGGGGACACTCTACCTCTATATGGACCAGCCTACCTCTAATAGGCTATGCAGACTCTGATAAAATCAAAAAACTAGTTTTTCTTATAATATCTAGAAGCTAAGCGGTGGCAGACTGCCTCAACTTCTTGAGGTACCTCTTCAGATACCTGCAACCTGCTACCTATACCTAGCTGTAGATCTAAGCGTGCCCTACAAATTGTATGTCGTAGGATAATGTTGTCTGTTTGATAGTAGTTTTCACTTGGCTGTCCAGTATTATAGAATGATGATTAATGTTGTAATTGTCAAAAGTATTCCACAGGTACTGCTATTTGTCATGAAACTGCTGTACTCCTAGATAGATTAAATTAGCTGAATGCTCCCATAATTACCCACGACTTGTGCTGTTTCCAACTGTAAACCAAGTAGGTTTACAGGAAAGATAATTAGTAATATTATCCAGAAGTTCAATCACCTCTACAATTTTACTAAAAACAAATGGAAATGTTCAACTCACACAACAACAATATCCAATGAGCCATTTCATCCCTCCAACATGTCTGGACTTTATCTACAAAAATGATGCAGTCTTCCAGAAGATCAATGTAGTTTTGTAGTTTGTAATGTCTTATTTGCTGCATGATATATTGCTCCCACGGTAAACCACCCTTCCTAATGCTTGCCATCTCGAGAATTTGGTATAGCTGCATGCGATCGTTGATAATAGTTTCTAACTGAGATAACTGGATACCTTTATCATTAGGGGGAACATTGTACAGGCTCACACTTGATAGCATCTTCCAGACTACACGAACATGATGTAAATTGTAAGTATAAGAAATAGAAATTCTGAAACTTACCTCTTTTTTGTTCAACGAATCATATCTACATGCGAAAATCGGTTGACACTGGATGCATTCAGGGAAATTCCACAAACAAAATGATAAGAAAGCATCAAAAGCTGTGAGGACCGGTTGGATCGAATATAACCTCAACTACAAAATAGCAAAGCTATAAATTATTACAACATTCAATAATAAAATGTAATACGTCGACAACAATAATTTGTTATTCATCAATTTACACTAAATCACACTGAACAAACACAACGGTGATAGCAGAATATTCTTGTTAATGAGGAAAATATTTTGTTCAATGTTGGATTCTATCCTACTGAATGCTAATACGTCATTTTTTAATGAATATCCGTTGAGGGGCGAAGTAGTAGAAGCAACGAACAAAAAAGTTTCAGATCATTTTGAGCGTAACTAAACATTTTTTTTGAGGTAAAGGTTTAATACTTAATTGCCTAAATTTGGATTCCCAGTTTTTCAGGTATGATTTTATCATAGTTCAAAAGTACCAACAGTTGTTTTAGGGGCGACAGGAAACTACACTGGCATCTCTGAGAAACAATGCTGGCTTCTATAACACCAAACAAGAACATCCACTACATATACGCGTCCTATTGCACTCAGGAGAAACAATGCTGGCTTCTATAACACCAAACAAGAACATCCACTACATATACGCGTCCTATTGCACTCAGGGGATACTAAGTACTTAAAAGTAGGATCGTAAACACAATTGTCTTCAACCGACAGTTGAATTTCAACTTCGGTTGGAAAATCGGCGCGGCGGTTCAGTTTTACTTTTATGCAACCGGCCCTTATACATATATACACACATGAATAGAATATGTTTGCTTTTTGTCTCCGAGATCATAACCAGCCCCGTATACCAAAAACGTTGTTTTGTGTGCTTCTTAACAATATCGGTATAGCTGTTAAATACCACTGATTGACGTTTCTACCTGAAGATAGCCAACTTGAAATTAGATACCATAGTGTCATCTCTATAGGTATTTGTCACAATTACGTATTTCCTGTCCGCAATAATTAACATATATTTAGCTACAGCGCCATTTATGAGATATTAACCTTTTCAAAGTAGATTTCTAATTATTGCGGAAAGGAGAAACCCAGCTGTGACAAATCTTCATAGATGGCGCTATGGTATCTCATTTCATCTCAGATAATTTTTGGAACTGAAATGCAGTATTTGGTTGGCTAGCCTTACATCTTCAAGTAGAACATATTAATAAATGTTCATACATATATGAATAATAATTCCTAATTGTTCAGCCTGGATGGTTCAGACCATAAAACACATAAGACTGAGCCGAGTAACTGGCAACATCGAAGGTGCATTTTCATCTTTAGTCACCTGACTGCTGACGTTTTAAGTTTTTGTGGTTTGTTTTTATTCGACGTAGTTGACCCGGGTTTTAATAGCATATTGTAGAAGTTTCTCTGAATATTTTTAATTTTGGTGGATAATAGATAATCCAGAATATTTTCCAAGATGTCTAGTCCAAAAACTACCGAATGCGAGCTTAAAGCGGGCCATCCTCCTGCAGGTATTTATTTTTTATATAAATAAAAAATGTAACAGGAGTAGGGATTGAAAGTCCTATTTGTACGCTTTTTGTGCAGTATTTTTCGTTAAGATATCCTATACAGTATCTGATTTAACAGTTTATAGGGGATGAAACGATATACGTTAAATATGTGTAAGATAGTCTTATCCATATGCTCTTTATCAGAGAAAGACATATCTAATCATTACATACCTTTTGATATGCGAATACTGTAGATAAACACTTGAATAGGCATTGTAATGAGACTCACAGACAAGGATGTTCTCAGTTGTATAATCATTTATTAGCAGATTATAATTTGTGATTAAATGTTATTTCCTATTAAGCAAAATTTGTTTCAATATTAATTTGAGAAATTGCTATCATAATGTAATCAAAAAATACCTTGGTAAATAATTTAAAACTGTATCTTGTCAATTTCATTGTCAGTTTGACAACTGAACTTTATATTCTCAAATATTATATGAAAACCGTTGAGAAATAAATTACCCTCATGTATCTTAAATACCTCAATAATCAGCTTAATGTTGGGCGATGGCTTTCAATGTTAACAGAGGGAAAACATTTGTACCCTTCTCTGCTTGGATGGACCACACAAAACTGAATACACTGTCTGTTTTTTTCATTATGTTTACCACCAGACAATTGGATATATATTTTAGAGTAAATGTAGAATGTCATGTCATGATCATGATTGAATATTCTGTGATAGTTAGTGTTCGTCATGAAAACAATTCTATACTATATTATGCACCTTAGACTATTATTGCATATGTCTCATTTCATTCATAGTCAAAGCTGGAGGTATGAGAATCACCCAGCACAAAACAAGGAAAGATTCTGGTGGCATAAGTGAAGACATAACTGGAATCACTGTCTCATCTAGCCCTCCAAAATCTACCACAATCTCAGGTGCTATTCCAAAGGGTAATGCAGATTTTCCAGCAGAGGCTGTGCAAAGCTTCCACAAGGAAAAACCTCCAGTAGTTCACAGTGCAAAGCCTATTATCCATATTCAGCAACCTAGGAAGTAGATTGTTGCTTCTTTTTAATTGATTTCTTACATTGTTTTGACTGTATGCATTTTCATGAGATGTTCATAGTTTGAGTGTGGATGCTTATATATGTAAGAACAAATAATGTGGCTTGGTTAAAGATATCATTGGAGGATATAAATGGATTTGATCATAGAAGGGATATGTGAGAGGATTGATGTTATTATCGAATGGAAGCATGGAATATACTTTTTGTAAGCACTCATATTTTATAATAACAGTAATAAACTAAGAATTATGATATAGGGCGCGTTCAGGGAATAGGGAAACTTTAATGCTTGATCTGAGTATTAATTTGAATCATATAGCTGCTGTCACAAAGCACTACAGTGCTGTTATTCTCTAAATGCACCTACTATTGAGTAACATGTTGAATTTATTCCACCTTTAAAATTTAAATAAACTATTTTGAGGCGTTTAGTTAGTTATTTTGATACTAAATATCATGAATACCTACTTAAATCAGAGGTGTCACTGTTAAAATTATTATACAAATAATGGTATCTTTACAAAGATGAAGATAATTATGAAATTTTTGTTTATCAGTATATTCCATGTTTTGTCTTCCCTATAATTGCAGTCATTTATTTGATACTAGTTTTGTGATGTCTCAATGCATTTATTTCATATACATTTTTAAACTTATTTTGAATCATCTTCATGACACAATCTTTAATAACAGGTTTGATGTCTTATGGAAATTACACACATATTCTTTATATTTAAAAAAATTAACATCTGTATACAGTATATTTAGGTGAAATATCTTACATCCATGGATGTATTATTATATTTTATTCTGATACCACTGGAACAGCATATTTATATGATACATGCTTTTAGGTTTATGGACAAATATCAATTTTGATATGCCTGACCATGTGGAGGCACTTTTAGATACATTGTCTTCTGTGCATTTTATTGCAGTCAAAATGTTGGGTTGATTAAATTGTTAGGAGAGAATGTACCATATTTTTATATACATAAATAGTTGAAACTTATGCATTTTATATATGGCCACTTGTAAAAGTGACTTCTTTTGAAGAAGATATAGATTTTATTCTGAATATATTTTGTTAGACAATGAATGTTGAATATACTGTAATCATTTATATTCTACTAGAAACATCCTATTGAGAGATGGATATAGTGCGGTTTTTGGCTTCAAAATTACTTTGTATTGGTTGTGCTGTCCATTTTACTTATATATATCTCGTATTGTATTTTATTGACAAGGTGACCAAAATGTAAGTTCTCATACATACCTGAAAAGTGATAGTTTTTGAATTTCTATTGTAGATGCTCTTGGTGCAAATTACACATATGACTCATGGCTTCTCAATTATTCTTAAACTTTATTGTTCCATATGCATCTCCAAGTATACTAGAATCTAGTATTTTTTTAATTTTAAACATGTTTGACTATAATCAGTTTGAATTTTCCAATGAGAGGCCATCAACAATAACTACTATAAAATGCTTTTGTAGTGGTTTACATTTTCCTTTGTATGTATGTGAATTGAGTTTTGAATCATCTGTTTTGTGTGGGTGTTACTACAACTGTACTATGTACTTGTATATTTTATATATAATAGTCAGACATTTTAATGGGTGAAAGGTTTTATTGTATTTTCTCATATTTTATGGTCCATAATAAAGAAGATTCAAAACATTTTCATTTGCATGCTTTATTCCAAGCAAGTAGTTTTTTATCCATTATCTCCTGTCTAGACAAGGATTTCAAGTGAGCTGCTGCCACATAATCTCTGAAAAGAAATTTTATACTCAATGATATTAGAAGTGTTACACCCAGAAAAAATAATTTCTTCAACTTGATTTTTTACATCAAGAATGAAACGATAACATCCACGCAAATTTATTGACAAGAAAAAAAATAATGAGTTGGACTCTTCGAACTAAAGGCATTTTGTTATGCTTAACACTAGTAAATCAATAACTGAAAATATCTGTACTACTCAGCTCTCAGAAATTGCTTTCTTCACAAAAACTAAGAGATAACATTTTAACAAAGGTAAACAAAAACAAAGATAAAACGTTGTCATTGTTGCCACATTATTGTTCAAATATAGTCATCATGTCGCCAAGCAGTGGCCAAGCCAAGGCTGTATGGGTGAGTTATCCACCAAGGAGCTATGACTTCAATTTACCAGTCTCGATCTGCAATAACTACAGTATTTGTATACTTGATTTTTTGGTCACTTAAAAATGACTGAGATTTTAAGAGTGGCAAGTTAAGTAGTAGCAAGTTCAGTGTAATAAAAACAATTTAGGTTTAAATGCTTTTGCTAGTACATACAGGGTGTTCCATAACTTACAAATTTTAACCACATATGCACTGTTGCGAAAGTAGTTGATTTCTCAAAAAAAATGTAATGAAAGTTCTACAGAAATTAAGTTATAAATCTGAGTTTCTATGAAAAATTGAAAAATAAATATCTGAATTTTGCGTTCATCGTCGTGATATTAGAACACGCATTAATAATGTATTGTAGCAAATGTTGTACCTAACAAATGACGAAAACAAAATACCAGGAATTTGTAAATAAGGTTTAATCTGTATCGTGGGTGATCTGAATGAAGAACGGTCGATTTTTGTGAAGTTAAATAAAAAAGTATTTTGTGAGTTATATATAATGAAAAGGGCACATGTGTACACTAATGAGGAATTAGTGGACATTGTTTTAGCGTACGGAAAAGCAGGACAAAATTCGAGAGCGGCTTCTCGTTTGTATGCACACCTAGTTCCGAATAGGCACATACCACATCACGAAACATTTAGTTTAATTATTTTACGTGCACGTGCTAGTGGAGATTGCGCCCCGGACGTGGAGTGGATGGGGGTCGAATTCGCCCACAACGCGTTTTAAATTACGAAGAGGAAATTTTGGATATTGCGAAAGAAAATCAGGGAATAAGCAAACGGCAGTTGGCCCAACAGGTCCCGGAAGTGTCACATGCCACAGCGTGGCGCATATTACATGAGGCCCAACTGTCCAACGTCCGGAATCCAGGCATTGCTACCTACGTCTGTAGGTAGTCTTACCCCCTAAGAGTAAGATTTTGTGAGTGGTTGTTGCAAGAAAATGCTCGAAATGCCCGATTTACAGCGGATATTTTGAACACCGATGAAGCTATTTTTACTCGTAATGGGATAACCAATCTTCATAACACACACGTTTGGTCCTTTGAGAATCCTCGCGCAATGGTCGAGAAACACTCCCAACATCGTTTTTCTTTAAACGTGTGGGCTGGTATTGTCAATGAACGTCTAATTGGACCATTCATATTGCTAGATCGGATGGATAGTCACCAGTATCTGGAATTTCTTCGGAATGATTTGCCGGTCTTTTTTGAAGATATGCCATGGGCGGTCCGAGCACGGATGTTGTTTCTGCACGATGGGGCACTTCCGCATTTTCGTTTAGAAGTTCGTGATTTTTTTAATCAGGTTTACCAGATACGCTGTATCGGAAGGGGTCTCCCGATCTATATCCTTTGGACTTCTTTTTATGGGGATACTTGAAAAACGAGGTATACCGTACCCCAGTTCAGAATATTGAAGAATTGCGTGACCGAATCACAGTCGCTGCCGATAATTTGAGCCTTCAGGCACAGCAGGAAGGAAGGTATATTTGAATTAGTGCGCCGAAATTGGATTAGAGTCAATCATCGACTACTAAACACAGCTGTGTTCAGTAGTCTATGCAGTCAATTGAAACAATTTTGAACAGTTTTTATAAGTAATGGACTGTTAAACTATTATTTTGTTATCTCGATTTCTGTAGGACTTTTATTACATTTTTTTTGCGAATTCATCTTCTTTCGTAACAGTGGTTAAATTTTGCCGGATAACCTGTGGAACACCCTGTATATTAACTGGCCCATTAAAGGCCAACCAAGTACTTAGGAATTTGGTTTTACTTACTTGAATTCCTCGTATGTTTTTGAGGTTGTTACAGCTCTAATCTTTGCATCATTACGAATCCAGTACATTTTGTCGCCGTCTATCTTTTCTTGTAGCTCTTTATATAAATCCATATTCATTCTGTTTGACATGTTAAATGGTTATTTCTACGCTGAGAGGTTATACCTGCCACTCCTACTAAATATTTGAAAAACCGTCGGTTGTTATATCAATAAGATCGTTTCTATGGGAAATGAGTGGTTCTTGTAAAGCGCGGCCCATACATGTAATATCCTCTAAGGGCTTCTCCGCATCGTATGGTTTACTTACCTCTATCAAAGAGTCTCTGAACGAGTGGCTATGCTGGGGTTGGTGAATAGAATTTTTGTTTATACTCCAACTACCACGAAGGCCTATGGCCTAAACACCCATTGGGTACCGTGGGGCTATAGGAGGACACAGGGGAAAGGGGGAACGCCACACGGACTCTGGCGAGGGAACACGTGTGCATGCAACATGCACACATTCTGGCTCCGCCTACGAGATCCGCCGTATGGTACCTCCGCGTTCGGCAGTCAGAGCCGTCTACCACCTACGGACAATCACAACATCCCTAGCCAAGAGAAAAATTTCTCCTGGGACGGGATTCGAATCCGCACAGAGCCTGATCAGGAGACTGAAGAGTCTACTACTGCGGCCACCGCTGCTGCCTCAAGGTCCATTTGAGAAAAATGAAACGCATATTGATGATCGAATCTTTATTTTGCAATAGCAAATAAATAATCTAAAAGTTACTTTCGAATTTAATACAAAAATTTCTTCAGCTTTAGAAGCTAGCCGTTCATTAAATTGAACAGTTCATACAAAATACAGAACAAATACATATAACATTTTCTTAAGATACCATTACTTTTTTGTACACTCTTTATATTATAATATGGATGAAATCAACTTATGACAATCTAGGACATAAACCTCCTACTATAGACTAGTACTATACACATTGTGCAAAAATAGTTTGTCAGAACAGAAATCAATTACAAAAAAGTTTGATGCTTAATAAATTCAAAATGTAACATAAATGAAAATTGATTGACCAGACATGCTTTTCAAGACAAACCACAAATTACAATCAGGAAACAGCAAACAACATGCACAATCCAAAATGAACAAAAAAAGTCTGAATACAATCCATTTTCAACATATATCACAAAGATTGGAATGGCTTTGAAACCGTCTGCTAAAATTCTTTATCCCATATAAAATCATAGATTTACCTAAGTGGCTCCATTAATTACGTGAGATGTTCAGCTGGTGAGGAGGTCGAACTGTCGACCAAACTCACGCGGAGGAGAGTCAAGCCCCATCTCACTAGCGGGGAAGGGGGATCAAAAATCGTTAAAAATGCCTCACGTAATTAATAGATGCCTTCTTATATGGCAAGTATCACCAGTACAATATTTAAAATATCTTTTTTTATCGTCAGTTTCAGAATGCTAAAATTATAGAATATTGTTCCAACAACATAAGGTTTGACAATGGCTATTTAAAAACTATTATTCTATGAATGCATAATTATTTCAAGCTACAGCTTGAGATACATCTCTGATAATTGAAAACCATTCTTCGGGCATGATAAGAATAAAGGATCAATTCAAAATATTTGGTGCAATAGAATATGTGTGCAATCTTTCCGATACATATACAGGGTGATTCAGCAAACAGTGAAAATATTTCTAGGGATGCACTTTATCAAAAAATAAGACTACACGTTGATATAAACATGGGTGGCAACATGCCTCCTTATGGAGATACAGGTTGTTCAATTGTACATGAACTGCTCATCTTTCTGTCAGATCACTTTTGGAGAGTAACGGTACAACCGATGCTACTGTGAAAATACGATGAAGTTGGCGAAGACTGACAATGAACATTTGATGTAGTGCCATAGCATTATTTGAACAATATTCATGTTTTATCCTTATTAGCATAAAGTTACAACACCCTGTATCTTGGTAATGAGTCATTTATGGACTATTTTTAGGGTTTTCTACACAAATATTATTTATGTAAAACATATCCAATCAGAATTCCCCTAAAAATGCAGCCCCAAAGCGGCAGCACTTTATGCCTGCAGCATTTGCACCACTTGAACAGATATCTATGAAAGAGATATTGTCCGTGCAATGACATGCTTTAGGAGCCTATATATCTATAGGAGCATCCATAGCTACTTTTTCTATTCGCTATGTGCGGGTTGACACCGCCGCCTAGTGACCATAATTATTCTTTACTTGTGGACTGTCAATGTTTAGCAATTAGATAGATCATTTTTTTTGCTCTTCATCTAAAAGATATAAAATTAAATGAAAGTACTATGTAAGTAATTTGCAAAGATTCAAAGTTCCAACCTCAACCTATGTCAAAGGGAAGAAACTGGTATTAGCACAGCATGTGAGATACTTTGAAGAGTTTAGGATGAACAGACAAAGCTACTTAATAAGAACTTTTATTATAAGACGTGTATCTGTGACAGACTCGCTACAAAACAGCACTACTTAATGAAATTGTATTTTTGAGATAGCTTTACGTCAGCCCATATTTATTATTCTGATGTTTATTTTTTTATGACTTATGCAGTATAGCCTACAACGTTGCTTACTTTTTTCCTCTTTACAGAAGCTATCTTCACCTATTTCTCTGTTATAACTTCCATGTTGCAGTAGAAACCGAAAAAAATTTGCTCGTACGTTTTTACCATTGTTCTCACAGTTCACAACGCAGCATGTATTGTGATCCATTTCGAGAATTTGATCGATTTTACATGAAAATATTTAACGCATTTAGTGTGGAATTGTATGAAATACAGCAATTTAACACACATCAATCTAGAGTTATTTCACATATCTGCCACATCACATGCAGGGATCGATTTGACGGACCCCATCACCCACTTTGCACATAGCATTTAGGAATTCTGTTTATTTTTTGTGTTCTTTATGGAACTGACAGATTGTCCACATATTCTATAACGTCACGTTTAAAATGCGTAATAATAAAAACCTGTATTAAACTAAATATGCCATAGCTGATACATATGTGAATTGACAAACCTATACATTGCTGTATAATTACAATTATCTTTGCCAAACTTTTTCATAATTCCTGAATACGATAAAATTATCGTTCACTATATTTATACATTTATCTTTGCACTAATTATATTATATCTTTGAAATCCCACAAAACACGCATTACTTTATTTACACCAAGATGTTCAGAAATCGAGAGAGCGCGGTTTCAAGCCGTTCGTTTTCAAAAAATTCCGCGCCCTCTCTGTCATCTCAATCTGGTCTGGAGTGCGGCCGCAGGCCACCATCACCCACATAGGATCCAGCTGCAACAAACATTATGAGCATGAATATTATTTCGTAAAAAATATTCATTTTTTAATTATCCAAACCTGGGCTGTCCAAACATACGGCCCGCGGGCATCACATGTATAAATTACTCTCAAATACCGAATATGCACAATTCTTACATTAACTCAGTAATAATGTTGTATAGAAAGATTTTATAATGCGGCCCTCCAAACTGCATTTTTTTTTTGAAGTGGCCCTTGGGCCACATTAAATTGGACAGCCCTGATCCAAATCTTCAAAAAGAACCAGGCAGTTTACTGATGGAAAATGGCTTTCGGCTAAATTAGTTTAAATATCACATAGATGGCGATCGAAAGTCCTAATGGGCCAACCCCCTGACACTCCTTTACCTCATATGGAACCCAGAAACCCCCAAGTAGGGGTTATTAATAGATATGAGAGGACCACATAACTCTTAAAATAATATTATCAGAGAAGTAAAACATACTGTTGCTAGGATTTCTCAATGACTGACCTTGACAGTTACCTTGTAACATGTAATATTGACAAGAGAAGAATTAATACGCACTGACGTAAATATTTATTCCAGATTGGCCAATGGTGAACATAGATTTGACCTTGTCCGTGACCTTGGATGATATGGTCAAGGTCAGCCAATTTTTTTAATTGAGGCATCCTATTTGGCAGTGATGTGGCTTATTTTGACTGACTGAGCGGTAAGGGGTCTTGATTTAAAAAAAAAAATGAACTCGATATGAGACATGACCCGCTCTCCAGTATCATGAAAATGGCCAATCTTGGCCCAAAATGTCAAAGTGTGAGTGATATTATGATTAGTTACTTTCAAGAAGAAAAGTGGCCTATCTAAAATATGACCTGCCTATCCAGGTAGTGAAATTTTAATTTTGACCTAGGTACAGTTACTGCATAAAAACAAGTCCCTTAGGAAGGAAAGACGACTAGAAGTCCGTTAGGCACGATATACTAGCCAATTCCTTTTAGGCACTAAATTTTATTTTACTTATTATTAAAAAAAGATTTCATCTAGTAACCTGATCGGTCGGTTTTTTTTCAGTGGGCTCTTGCTCATTAACACAATACGTGCTTTCTTTGTGTAAATTCAAGTGATGAAACAATGATTTAAAAACCAAAAAATAACAACAATACGTGACATTGCCAATTCTAGTTTATATGAGATTATTATGTTAAAATTTACAGGTGCTTAGAAGTATTTAACACGTAAATCCAAAGCTTTCGATGTGTTACGTTTTTAGCTGAATATAAGCATGAAATTTTTGCGTTTCACAACCGTAACTGAAATAATTTTTTGGGCAGAAAGTGTTGTAGAAACTAGTTGAATATATCTTATTATACTAATGTAGGTTAGTAATGACAAAACAGCAGCTAAGTGTTAAATGTCGTGCTATACATAATTTTGTGATAACATAAAATAGTTAGCATTTATAAACTACCCACTAAAATATCCCAGAGTACATAAAAATATAGTATTAGTAAGAATGTTTGGGATGTGGTTAAACCAAAGCATACATGTTTGTACAAATCTCCTAAAATGTAATATTGATATCTGAAAAAAACAGTTATTAGTGAAACTATTAAAAATCAGTATTTTTAGTGCATGAAAGCATTACCAGAATTTTTTTACACAATGAGTTACCGATAGTTTTGAAACGAACTGATTATGTAAATAAATTTGATCATTCCTTATATAAGCAATCAAAAACATATCTACTGGATTTATCTTATCCTAATTAATATACCTATTGGCATATTATCTCATTATCACAAGCATTTCTTTCACGAT